CTTGGTCCTGAGGCCAGGCAATTGGCATTCCTGGCAGGTCTACACAGGGGCTTGACTGTCACCAACTGACACAGGATGCAAGCTGTTGGAGCTCCATAGATAATTTGTGGAGAGGAGAGGAGTTATTTGCTTGTTGACTGAAAAGCCTATCTCTTCTGCTGAATGTGTCTAAAATATTATTTCTACCCAGGGACAGGAGCTGTTTATAGGATATTCCATAGCATCTCAGGGTATGTTTTCATTACTGTGATGATCAGCCATTGTACTTGGATCCTCACTCCCTCCTGCATATATGTAGCTACTTCTTCTAATTCTATTTAATGGCATGATGAAATAACAACAGAGAAAGCCAGGCTGATCATAAAAAGAGAAAATTCTCCCTAGGAAATCTTGGCTCAAAATCAAGTTCAGTTGTAGATTTGCCAAATTTTTGCCTAACCCTATTTTCCTGTATAAAAGGGAGAATATTTGTGAGAAGGATGGTGGCAAATAAAACATGCCGGAACTAAAATTGTAATATTTATGGTAATTGTGGGAACAAAGAAGAACTGTATCCTGTAAAGTTCATGAAATATGAAATGAGTGAAGTATCTAAAAAGTCACAGTGGTTATTGACTGTCCACTGTTACTATAATTTTGTAAGCCATTATAAAGTTTCTTTTTGACCTAATGATATTAGAAAATGGAAATTGCCTTATAGCCTAGTTTCTTTATTTTTCTGTGCTGCCGTGTTGTTTCTGTATCATGCTTACCCCATCCCCTCTTTTTTCATTTTTTTTATACAGAGAAGTGCAATCTTATTTCTATAACTGGGCCAAAAGGCTTGTAATCTAACTAATATGCCAGCTAACTGATCATGATCAAGTAATATGCAGTTCTCAAATGTGAATTTTCAATATCTGAGTCTTCAGAAAAGATCAGTCTGACTCAAAATCTCACATTTTTATCAGACTGAAATTAGTCCAATAAAAAGTATCACCTTCCATGCCTTTTGTTTTTCATTTCTGAGGTATATTATCGATTAGTTTATAATTAATCTGTCTCTCTCCCGCAATCTGAAAAATCACAAAATACAAATGCTGCTGATTGGGGAAAAGAAAGTTGCATCCAGCCAGATGGTCTGTAGGCTCGGAACACTACTAGCCAGTTTTATTTGCCATTAGTGGGCAGTTGCAACAAATGAGCTCATAGGCCCTTTTCATCTCCAACAGTTATTATTCCCTGGCTTATTATTATTGCTTGGATTTATCTTGCCTATTACTCAATGGGAATTTTCTAACAGACCTCATTTTCCAAGCCTCATTTATTAAGATGTAGACTGTCCCTTAGATGGTATATATTCATAGTGGAAAAACGATTCCAGATTCTCTCCTGCATCCTATTGGAATTCCATTCTCCTAAGAAGGTGATTCCTTCTCTTGACTAAATACGTGATTCTAAAAAAATTAAGCTGCAGTTACCAGTGCTTAATCTAGAGGAAGCCCGTTTCTGTTAATGAGACCATCCCTCCAAAATAAGATCCTTGCAGACTGTAGCTTAATAGTCAACAGAGTACATGGGACACCTTTCTGCCAAAAGTTGCTGTAACTGTCTCAGCTGAGTTTCATCTTCTTCGGACTGACTCTGTACCAAAGCGCTGCTTCAGAGAGGTTTAGAGGAGAGAGATAACAGAGCACTACAACTGCTGCTTTTGTGGTGGAGTTTAAAAGCGCTGTAGAGGATAGAACATTGATGTTAAGTGTAACCGCACTGCTAACAAGCCATTATCTCCTGTGACCTGGACCGCAGCAGTGTTCGCTGCCTTCCAAAATGAACTTAATTACTAAGAAACAGCAGTGGCTAATCTATGGTAGACAGGACAGGATCAATTTTGTGGGGAGGCTGCCTGATAGTCAACAGCAGGAAAGAAAATGCACACATGCACACACATCATTCCCAACGTGATCTAAAGAAATCAGTTTTTATTTTCCATTTCAGAAACTAGCATAGAGATATGGATTTCTCACCTCAGCACACCACAGCAATTACAGGTCTAAGTGAGTTGTCAGCACAGCTTCCTAGCGGTAGATAGCAACTCACATTTCAAGATTAGAGCAAATGAGTCAGATTAAGATCTCCAGATCAGGTATGGTTTTTTTGTTTTTATTTTGTTTTGTTTTTTTCCCAGTCAGGCCACATTTTTACATATGGAGGCTTGTAAATGTTGGAGTGTCAGAAACATTCTAAATGACAAAAAGAGCATTGGTTAGTATATAGTTATATGGCAAAGAAAGCTGATAAAGTCAAAAGTTCATTTTATATCCTTTTCATTTCTAGTCGCTTCAAACAGATGGGGAGGGGGCAATTGAAAGACACCATGAAGAACTGAATGCCGTGCACATTGTTACTATCCATGTGATTATTTTGGTTCTGGATTGGGCATTCCATAATAATATCGCTGCAGTACTGCATGATACAAATACTGAATCATACAGATGGCAAATGACAGCAAAAGTCAGTTAACCCCACTTGAGTTTAACCATCCAGAACTCAACTGTATGATCCTATGCATCTCTACTCAGAAGTAAGTCCCACTAAGGTCAGTGGGGTTCGCTTCCCTCCCAGATTGCAAACTAATTAAGTTGGGCATAATTCCTAGTCCATTCCAAATCTAAAAGCAGATTATGAATTTACTTAGCTGTCAGGAACTACTTTGAAACAAAGTAACATTGATGAAATATTAAGATTAAGATCATTTCATTCATTCATCAAAATGAATTGCACCTAATGAAATACAGTTCTGGTGCTTGGAGATTTTCTGCCCTCTTTTCCAAAATGCATGGGGGGGGGGAATGAATCCAAAATATATTGCCATATGTTTCTTTCTGTGATGTAATAAATATATAAAGAATAATCTGAAGTACCTGAGCAATACCTGTTCTCAGATCTAAGATCAAGCCTTCAAAACTATGTCCCTGTCATTTCTATGATTATAGGACAATACACTGTTCACTGTTTTCTTTATCCAAACCTAAGTGAAAATGGTACACATAGACTCTACCTTAAATGAAAGCTTGGGGGGGGGGCGGGTGGATCTACCTCCCTCCTCCTTAAAATCAGATATGATTTGCTCATGGCCATTCTTGTAGGATGAGTCCTGGCTCATATCTAGTCCTCTCAAGATACATCACATATTGACAGTTGTTTTCAGGCTGCTCCATCTCCTCAAAGGTCTTTTCCTAGAATCAGCTGATCCCTGTCAATCTATCCCTGGAGAAAGGACAAGAAAAAAGAATATGGAAAAAGGCATTTATTTACTAAAGTCACCTCATCATGCTATGTTGCTGAATGAGATCCAGCCACCCAGATCACTGTTGCAAGAGGATTGCCTTTCTGCATGCCTCAGGAAAAAAAGGCAGGGTAGAAGTGTAATCAATAACAATGAGGATTAGGTGTGTACATATGTGTATTGGTCTTCTTGAACTTTCCAGTTTTATGTCCAGAATTATGTTTTACACTTTCTTGGGAGAGAAGCCTTCTTTCATAATTCAAGCTGTGAACTAACACAAACTTACTTAGGACTGAGTTCTAATGAATTGGGTAGATACATGCACCATTAATGTATCTCATTCTCTGGAGATGGTTCCTGATAAACGCTCCCTTGGCTCCTAGCAAGTCATTGAGTGAAGAAAGTAATCAGTAGAAAAGGTATTTATGGCATTTAAATGGAGCAGCGTAAACCTGTTCTCTGTAGTTGGGGCTGCTTTAACTTTCAGATTCAGAGAAGTGGACAGAGGCTGATGAAAATAGGAATGTACAAATAATCAGGGATTATTTAGTATCAGGAGATGGAAAATGCCTAATAATGAAATAAAATGGCACTCATAAATTTGATTGCTATCTATGTGTGATTTGCAGGATATCCAGTATTTTCAAGACTGAATCTCCTTCATCACATCCAGAGATATAATATTCTAGCACCACATTCCCAGCCAATGTTAGACATGGGTCAGTCATAAACAACAGACATAGGTAGAGATCAGCCTACAAAACAAGAAGATTTGCAATATTTTTTGTTAAAACCCTCCTGATTTTACCTCTTGATTTTACCTCCTCTTTATCAGTGATCAGTTCAATTTAATATTGAAATGTCACTTGAGAAAATAAATGTATTCTAGGAAGTTGGCTATATTGCTTTTTGCAGCAAAAACAATTGTTAGTATTGATGTTCATATGTAAGGCTTAAATAGTAATAAATGATTCATGGCATGAGTTTTTGTCAGCAAATGCTAACTTCATTTAAGCCACGGTCGCTCCTACATGCTGCTCGTGAAGTGTCAGCATAATCCACAGAGTGCAATTTAGTAATGGATAAGCTGCCTCTGTTCTTAATGGACAGTTGTCGAATTTTAAATGATGGGACATTTTAAATTCAAGTTTAGCTGAACAGCACTTAGGGGTAATTTTGATGTATTTTTATTACAGAACTCAGACGTGAGACTGTGCATTGCTTATTTGCTACATTTATTCTTAAAAATGTATTCCAATAGACATCTTCCTCTCTAAAAAAAGAGTCAAAAGGTTGAGTTTTAAAGAGTGTGTAGCTCTTTGTAGTTCCATGGTTGAAGTTTTATGCTGGTTCACAATTTGCAGTTAACTCCTATTGAGTTCATTATCTGAACATTATTCTTGGTGCCAGAAAAGCTACAGGATCCAAAGAATGATGGATACATCCATAAATTTAACTGATTGTTGTTTTGACTTTAAAAAAATGTTGAAGCTGTGCTCATTTTTCTGTAGAAAGGATGGATATGACACCAGAATGTGTCTAGAGTCTGGTACACTTGTGCCTCTTAACAGCTAGGTTACTCTTGCATTGGTATTAGGTTCCTTGCATTGGACCTGGGTTTCTGGACACAGAATGAAGGAATGGATGACTCACTGGCCTGGGCCTAGTTCAACAGTCACTGTACTTTTTTCACATCATCCTGCTCAATTGATTTTGCCTCCCTTTCAGGTAGCCCCTGACTCAAAGCTTTTCATCAGCAGCACTGGATGAGAATTCTACAACTTCCTAGAACGTGGCAGCATTCTACAACTTCCTGTAACGTGGCAGCAGTATGGATTTTGTGATGAAACAAGCCTTAGGGGGTAAGTAACTCACTGTCTCCTCACTGTATTCTCTCCTCTCTTAGTGCTACTGTACTTAACATTTAAGGCTGAATTTCTGGTGGAGGCAGACCCTTCCCACCTTCCTTAATCTCATCTACCCTATTCAAAAGCTGAATGGGAATCAGAAGAGAAATCATTGTTTATTTCCTTCCACTTTTTCCTCAGATAAGTGGTTTTTGGAGGTCTGTATATTGCAAATTCTACGTACCCATGGGAGATGGTGGATTAAGAAAATACATGTACTTCTGAGGAAGTGGTACCTCCATTAAATCACCTTCTTAGAAAAAAAGATTGTCATAATCCAATAACTTTTTTTTTTTTTTTGGTCAGTTGACTAGCCCAATATAGAAAATACTAAATACATAGATTAAGGATAAGCAAATGGTCACAGTGGAAAATCCTGATTTATGGTGGGGGTTTTAGACATCCCCACCTCTGGATCCATGTGTTCCATTGGTCAGAGGTGAAGACATATTGAACTAAATCCCACCACTGCCATTTGGCATTTAATTTATCAAAAAGATGTGTTTTATCTGTGTTCTGTTAAAGTACGTTCAATTCACCTGCATGTGATCTAGAAATGATGCTAATAAGTGTGTGTGTGTGTGTGGTTAATGATGAAACAGCATTATTAGAAATCAATATAATAACAGGCAAACAGTTAAGATTTGCCCAAGGGAGGATGAATCTGTTTTAGTTTCAGTCCTGAATAGTTACACACTTCATCCCATTTCTGCTTTTTTTCCCAGATACACAAAAATAGAATGAACACATACACACACACGCACCAAGGTGTATTTTTCTTTAAATTTTGTCTGTATAAAATAAAATAGAAAAGGTTGTGCATCTTACAGTTAACCAATATTGAAAACACACAGGAGAAACTGATGATACTAGAGATCCTTTTAGCTTTGCTATCTTTGCTGGGTAAAGTTCAGATCAGATGAGTTTGGGGAAGTTCTCTTTGCACAAAGATACAGTGGTGCTTAAAAGTTTGTGAACCCTTTTGAATTTTCAATATTTCTACATAAATATGACCTAAAATGTGATCTGTTCTCCACACAAGTCTTGCACAAAGATACAGTGGTGCTTAAAAGTTTGTGAACCCTTTTGAATTTTCAATATTTCTACATAAATATGACCTAAAATGTGATCTGTTCTCCACACAAGTCCTAAAACTAGATAAAAAGAACCTAATTAAACGAATGAGTCAAAAACATACTTGTTCATTACTTTATTGAGGAAAATGTTCCAAAGCTACATACTGGTGTGTAGCAAAAGTATGTGAACTTTTGCTTTCAGTAACTGGTGTCCCCCGTGGGCAGCAATAACTGCAGCTAAACATTTCTGATAACTGTTGATCAGTTTTACACATCAGTTTGGAGGAATTTTAGCCCATTCCTCCTTACAGAACAGCTTCAACTCAGGGATGTTGGTAGGCTTCCTCACATGAACTGCCTGCTTCAGGTCCTTCCAAACATTTCTATAACATTAAGGTCAGGACTTTGACTTGGCCATTCCAAAACATTACTTTTCTTCTGCTTTAACCATTCTTTGGTGGTACAACTTGTGTGTTTTGCGTCAACTTGCTGCCTGACCCACTTTCTCTTGAGCTTCTGTTCATGGACAGATATCTTGACATTTTCCTGTAGAATTTGATGGTACAATTCAAAATTCACAGTCCCATCAATGATGACAAGCCATCCTGGTCCAGAGGCAGCAAAGTAGGACCAAACCATGATACTGCCACCACCATGTTTCAGAGATGGGATAAGGTTCTTATGCTGGAATGCAGTATTTGCCTTTCTCCAAACATAATGCTTTTCATTCAAGCCAAAAAATTCTATTTTGGTCTCATCCATCCACAAAACATTCTTCCAATAGCCTTCTGGCTTATCCATGTGGTCTTTCACAAACTGTAGATGGGCAGCAATGTTCTTTTTGGAGAGCATGGCTTTCTCCTTGCAACCCTGCCAGGCACACCGTTGTTGTTCAGTATTCTCCTGATGGTGGTCCCATGAACACTAATGAACCCCTTTAGTTCATTAGACATTACCCAGGGGTTTTTTGAGACCTCCTGGAGTATTACACGCCTTGCTTTTGGTGTGATCTTGGTTCATCAACCACTCTTGGGTGCTGAATTGCCTCCATTTATACAGAAACTGCCTCACAGTGGACTGGTGGGGTCCAAATACTTTGCAAATAGTTTTTTCCAGCCTGGTGAGCATCAACAACTGTTTTTCTGAGGTCCTCAGAAATCTTGTTCAAGCCATGACACGCTTCCAGATACCTATCTTGTGAAGATCAGACTTCAATAGTGAATACCCAGAATTCTATTCTTTAAATAAGGCAGGACCTTCCATACTCACACCTGATTATCATCCCATTGATGGAAACATCTGATTCTAATTTCCCCTTCAAATGAACTGGTAATCCTAGAAGTTCACATACTTTTGCCACACACAAATATGTAGCTTTTAAGCTCCACTGTACATCAGTCATGATTTTGTCAAAAAGGAGCAGTGACTCTAAATACTACATCCATACAGAATTTTTGCCTTTTACTACTAGACAAGGAAGTTTGGTAAGAAGTGGGCAAAGCTGAGAGGCTGCAAGACAGAGCCTGTGGGTGGGAGATGTCTTTTTTAGTAGTCCTCCTCTCTGCTCTGAAGCACGCACACCTTCCTCTCCAGGACAACAAGCCTGCCTGGCCAGGAGCAGCTCTGGTTTCTTCTCCTTCCTCTGCTGCCTCCTTCTTGGTGAGAGCACACATATTGCTTTCAACTTATTGGATAAGTTTGTTTTGTCTTCTACCAGAATGCTATAAAATTTTGACGTTCTCCCTTTTTCCCTATTAAGTGATGAATTTAGCCTAATTTCAAATTTAGTCATGGCTCTAGTCATTTGTGTTTTACCTGCCAGAAGTACGAAAACAGGTCTGTATGAAATCATGACTGAGCCAAATTTCCTAGAATTATAATATTCTCATTAAGCAAATCCTTTAAATAAGAAAATCTTTTCATTTCCCAACCTTGTTTAATTTTACCTCCATTATAAAACACATGACAAAATATTAATGGTTAGAGGGGCGATGGGTATGGAGTTAATTCAGGGGCCTATCTATTCCAAATTTAGAACACATTCAAAAGGAATTGATTTTGAGTATGTTTTCAGTACTTTAAGAATATTTTTTGCAAAAGGAAATGCCCTATTTTTTCCTATTGGTATATTTATATATTCAATTTTTAGCCAAAACATGAATGCTTGTGATTTTACCAAGCCACAAATGTTACTGATAAGTCACACCTTTGTTCAATTTCTATAGAGCTTCGGTTCTTATTCCTCAGAAGTAAAGGGCTACATCTTTTCAGAGGCACAGTTGTCATATTTACTATTTAATGAAAAGTAGAACAAGAACTAAATAGCTGGGAAGAGATTTATTATTTGTAAGAATATTGTTATATTGTATTTTAATTAATATTTATTCTTTTACTGTAAATTGCCCAGAGTTGCTTCCAGTGAGATGGGCGGTGACAAATGCGAAGAATGAATGAATGAATGAATGAATGAATGAATGAATGAATGAATGAGGAAAATGTCCTCAAGTGGAACTCATCTCCTGATGAAATGCATTCATGCAGTTTTCTTGGCAATGTTACTGAAGTGATTTGTCATTTGTCGTCTTTGGAGGTATTTTGTGAACTTTCTCCTATCGTACAGCCCTGGAGTTCCCTGATCCCCCATCCTAGTACTTTTCAGAAGCCTAGGCTAATTCTCCCCCAGATCAGTATGGAATAATTCCCTTGATTTGCACCAATAGGATGCAATTCCAGAGCAATCAGTTTCCAGCTGATATTTTAGTGCAGGGCTGGAAAAGAGGGTTCTAGTGTGTATATAACTTGCCCCACTCAACTACCCCACCCACAAGTAACCAAGCCATTGTAATCCATCATAGTTTTGACCTCAAGTAGATGGCCAGATCATACTTAAGACTTTTTTTCTTGTCATACATGACTTTCTGGGATCTTGCAACCAGCAACTGTTGTTCCTGGTCTTGGCTGGTTTGGGTGAAATGAGGATAAATCACAGAAGCAAAGGAGGAGGAAGCTAGAACTTGTGATTAAACATCTTAGTCTCTGGGGGTTTCGGGAACCAAGGTTGACTTGCAACTCTAGATTGCTGAAAAAAATTGCTGTGGTAAATTAATGCTGCCGGGCTCTTAGCTGAGCTACTGTTAGCATAGCACAGTGCATAGCAAGTTTGAGGCTCCCTTGCACAGTTGGGAATAAACAATTGCTTCTTCCCATGGCAGAGAAGCATACAATTTACAACAGAGCAGGCCAGAAAAGTCTTCTGACTGAGAAGTTCACAGCTGACATTTACTCCAACAGATGTGGTTAGAGAAAGTTCCAAGGCCTGTAAAAAAAGAGGACTTAGTCACAGGTTATCTGTCTTTGCTTTAGAGTCTCTGAGAGATCAAGGCAGGGCACAGGGAGGTCCCTTTTCATTTTATCCTCAACATAAACTCTCTATAAAGTAGCTTCTCCGAGAGAAAGGACTGGCCCAATTTTACTCTGTGAGCAAAGTCAAATAAGATTTGAACCTGGACCTCAGAGTCCCAGTCCAACTCCTTTACAGCTACACTATGCTGACCGTCTGATTAGCTCTTGGATTTTACTTATCACTAATACTGAGGATTTTTTTTTTTAAGAAGACAGAATTGTCCAGGCCTTTGCCCCACAATGGCACAACCAACACCAGTATATCATGGCTATTTCTAATGCACAGTACAAAGATATTACTTGTATGATATTCTATTCAAGCTCAGAGAATTTTGCAGTAATGGGAAAACAGATAATTATGAGAGAAAGAGAGAGACCCTTCTGAAAAATACAGTGTTCTTACTCAGATGTCTAGTGACATCTGAGCTCCCTCTAGAGATCTGCCAAGGAAATTTGTCTCGGAGTGAAAATACTGTCTTCTTCTCACAACCAGGAAGATTACTGGCTCTGGGATTCTGCCCTGGAGAGATATTCCATCTAGAAAAGAAAGTGCAAATCACTGGCCCTGACATTATCTAATAGGTTTCAGCTTCTTTATAAGACAGGTGGAGAAGCTGGTAGCTATTTTGCCTGGCCCTACATCTGTCCACCCACCACCTCTTCCTTTTTCCTTAATAGTAGAAGTGGATGACGTCAGCCTCCTGGGAAATATTGAAATGATATGGGGATTTCCCTCAGCACCCCCTCTCACTATGTTTTCAAACATGTAATGTACAGGGGCCACGAAGGACATGGGTAAAATGTTGGGAGGAGAGGAGGAAAAAGACCCCGACGCCCAGAAGAAGGAAGAAGAGCGACAAGAAGCCTTGCGCCAGCAAGAGGAAGAGCGCAAGGCAAAGCACGCCCGCATGGAGGCTGAGCGGGAAAAGGTTCGACAGCAAATCCGCGATAAGGTGGGTCACCTCCCTGCCATTTTCCAATGAAACAGTCTATCATTAACACCTTGAGGGAGCGATTCGGAAGAAATGGCAAGAAAAGGATGGAGAGTAAGGCGACTGAGCTACAGGAAACTGGAGAAGTGATTACTGATCGTGATGGTTAAGGCTCGGATTTTATTTTTAAAGGACAAAACTCGATTTCGGGGAGCCACTCAGTCTAACCTGAATTATTTTAGATCGGCACTGATTGCCCATTGTTTAAAAAAATCTGTTAAACTTTTAACTTTTAAAAGGTTGTTGTTGAACTAGAACTGTGAGCATCCATTCTCCTGGGCATCCATGAAGGAGCAAGGGTTGAGGGGAACTTACTTGCTTCAGACATCATGACGTCATTACATAAACATGCCACGTTCATGATGATTTCATGATACGTGTCATCATTTTGACCTCATGATGCCTTGTTACAGATGCTACCATTTCTTATTATTGGCCATACATGGGCTGCTGGGAGTTGTAGTTTAACAACATCTGAAGATATTCCTGTCTTAGGGTTCGGCAGTTGGATGGCCACACCAGCTCCTGGTTGTTCATGCATCTGCTTTTTAATAAAGAGGGAAAGAGAGCCAGCAGTTTTGTCACAGAACTAGTTCACATCTAATTAGCCTTCCCGTGGCATAGGATTTCTGTCTAGCATGGGCTGGAGCAATTACAGGAGATGGGAATATTGCAAAACTCAATAGACAATATCCCTTACAGGTCCAGCATCTTGGACAATTATCTACAGCAGGAATGGAGATCTTCCAGGCCATGGGCTAAATCTTTCCCAGTTGCTCCATCTAGCCCACAGAGATCCAAACAAGGCCCCTCTCCTTCTTTGAACCCCCTGCTCTCTCCCTGAAACCCTGCCCCATCTGCCTTCCCATTGAAGGGCTGCAACTTCAAGTCTCTATTTCACTTGAAATGTGGCTTCCCTGGGGCTTCTCCCGGACTGTGCCTTTCCCAAAGGGGAACAATGAAGATTGGGCAAAGATGGCACCTGGGCAGCCAGCACCTGAAGGTAAGAATATATAAGTAGCCCTGCTGGATCATACCAAGGCCCATCTTAGCCCAGCATTTCATTTCTCAACCAGATGCCCATGAGGTGCAGCCAGATGTGCCCGTTCACTGCCCTGTGTTTTGGGAAATGCATGGGACAACTGAATTCCTAAAAGATACCCTCAGGGCTCCACTCCTTGAAGGAGCTTCTGGCACCTGGAAATGAGTCCTCCCCAAGAGCAGGATGACATCCAGAGAATGGGAAGGGAAAGAGTTAAGGGCCCACAGTCATGAAATCTGCACCCAGAGAAGAGGGCTGGCAAGGGATCTAATCCTGCTTTCCCCTTGATTGGCAGCATTCTGCCAGCAGGATGACCCTGTCTATAGTGAACAAAGCCTCACAGTCTCATCCCTCTTCACTAAGGGAAAGTGAATTAAAGCACTTTGATTTAACAAGGGCTGTTTCCATGAGCCTGTGGAGCTATTTGTACCCCATCGAAGCATCCCAGCATTGCTTCTTCCTCACTCCAGTAGTTCCAGATGGAAGGAAAAGAAACACACCTGCACGCAACATGGTTACATTCATTCACCTTCCAAAGGTTATTCCTTCTTTTACTCCCCACAAAGAACAGCCTTTTCTCTGTAGCTCTTATTCCAGGCCAACTATACTAGTTTAAAAAGCTTCTACTGGAGTCCAGCAACTAGAGGTGAAGTGGTCTCTGCTAGGCCATAAGATTACCAGCTTAGAGCATCTTTGGTGTGAACTTCTTTTTGTTGCTGATAATCCTTAATGTATGAAAGCTGGCCAGTATTCAGCTTCTTGATGCTAAGAGAAAGGGGGCTCTCTGCTATTGACAACAGTCATTCATTCATCCTCATTGGCTCAGTGCCCATCCACTATCCCTTTTTCAGTGCTTCCTTTTCTTAGGCAGGCTTTGACTTTTCCTTTCCTGATCTCTGGAAGGCAGACCCAGGAGCTACCCCTGGAGAAAGTGACAGTCTGTTCAGCTGAGGTGAAATGATCCAACCAGGCTTCCAAGCCGGCTCTCCCGCAGGGACTACATGCACTTGCTCATGAATGATTTCTTTCTGTGTCCCATTTCTCTGTTTGCACTGCAGCAAGAGGAGAATCATTCATGAATTTTTGGTATGTGGTCTCAAGGGGAATATAGTGTCTTTGGGCCAGGCATGAGCCATTGTAACCCGCCCCGAACTCTGTGTTCCTTGGCATCCTCCTTGCCATTTTGCTTCTCCTGGCTTACTTGTCTTGCAAGAGGAGAAAATAGGTCACTGGAAATAAACTAAAGATCATTCTCTGTCCCTTGTTTTTGTTTTTTTAAAAAAACTTAAAACAGTATGACCAGATTCTGCTATCCCTTTAAATAATTATGCAGAGATGGGAGAATTTAAGGCAGCGCTCTTCTCTCACCTTTTAATGTATCAGCCCTTTTTTACACTGCTTTTAGGAGTTTCAGAGCCTGGCCCTTCTCTACCGGCAGTGACCTCAATGAAGACAAGTTCCAGTTCATCACAATGTTGCCTATTCTCTCCAGAGTCATTCCCTCTGTCAATCACAGCCCCCTTTTGGCTCCAGTCAGCCTCAGAATATTAGCAGGGGTGCTGCAGGTCTGTCTATCATCCACACTAGAAATGGTAATATTAAGGCAATGTGCTTCTTACCTGCAATTCTCAAGATCCTTCTGCAGATGTAGATAGTGCATTAGTGTCTTCCAGTGACCAGCCCATGATATTTTTTTTTACCTGGGGCAGATGAAAATAGTGGATTGCAGGTTATGCAAAGGAACACATTATATTTTGCATTTGTTTAGGTTTTGTGTTTCCCTAGCCTTCTTCAGTGGATCATGAGAGGAGAGGGAAATGTTATGCAGGCACATAGCAACCTCAGATCCTTTAGCCAGATATCTAATGTAGCACTTACACTATTTAATCCAGCTTCCAACATGGGGCCTTAAAGTCATTGTCAAACTAGAACTCCCATTGTTTATATCCAGCATAGTCATTTGGCACAGTTGCTGTGGTTATTGTAAGCCACCTTTGGTCGAGTGGGCAAAGAATGTAAACTCTAAATGAATGAAAAAGCATAGAATTGTTTTCCAGATTTCCCATTAAAGTGAAAGATAAGGGTTAGAGTTACCTCTGATTCATTCAGGGTCCACGCACTGTTCCAGCTACTTGATGGCCCACCTAGATTCTGCCTTAGCTTAGACAGTAAAGAAGAGGGTTGGATTACAGGACTACATAGGGCAATAGAAGTTGCAGCTTCCTGTCTCTCAGTTTCAGGGAAGATTTAAAGATCTCTGTACAGTGTTCATGTTCCAGGATGATAACCCTAAGAACAGAATGTACAGTATCTCTATAGAAGCAATTGACTGGAGCAGCTAGTTCATCTGCAGAAGCCTGAGTGATTAAGTTAATGCAATCTTAATTAAGGACACCCATGGCCCAAGCCCCAAGAATGTTGTGGTCAAGATCCATCTTCTGCTGCGTCCCTCTGAGAAGTCTTGTATGTCTCCCCCACACAGTACGGCCTGAAGAAGAAAGAGGAGAAAGAGGCAGAGGAGAAGGCGGCACTGGAGCAGCCCTGTGAGGGGAGCCTGACACGACCCAAGAAAGCCATCCCAGCAGGCTGTGGGGATGATGAAGATGAGGATGAGGAGAGCATTCTGGATACGGTGCTCAAGTATCTGCCAGGTCCATTGCAGGACATGTTCAAGAAGTAGCCGCCATACCAGCCCAAGTCCCACCCAGAGTTTCCTGGTGTTGCCAACTCAACACTTGGTTCAGGCTTTTGGGTGGTGAAGGGACTTTCTTTTGGGGTTTCATGGGGCATTTTCCTTTCCAGATTTTGTTTCAAGGGGAGACTTCACACATGTCTTTGTGCCACAGGCCCTTCCCAGGCCATCCTCTTTTTCCCCAGGAGAAGCACATCAGGCACAGGACGCACTCCCCACCCTGCCCCCTTGCTACTCATCACTCTCAGCTGCTGGATTCCTTGGAGCCACAGGCTGGGCACTGCCAGGAGCTT